ATTAATATTCAGAGCTTCGGAAAATGAGTCGGGGTGGATTTATTGCATCTAACAAAGATATTAACACATACGCACCTGAGTTATACCTGAAAGTATCTTCATAATTATGTTTGTAGGACTTGGAAAGGGGGAAGGGTGGATTTATGTACTGTCTTTTAAAGCGTATCAATCACCAAAACCTGTTTTGTTCTCGTTGTAAGGAGTTCCATGTGGCTATACTGTATTCAAAATTTGAGCTTCAAATATCAATTTTAGAAATAAATATAGCTTTTTATGGACATTTTCAACTGACCCTAAAAACCTCTCTATTTGAGTTTACTAGTAAAAATGCATGTGTACTCAATCGCATAGAATAGGTTTTTTTTTTTTTTTTTTTTTGTTTGTTTTTTTTTGTTTTTTTTTGGGGGGGGGTCTTAGGGATTCTCAAGTTCTCTCGACATTGTTCTGTTCTGAAACCTTTATACATGTCATACATTAGGTGTCGAAGGGGTCTACATCTTCTGCAAATAACAGTGCATTCATCCCTCCCCCCAGCTAAGTGTCGGTTCCCTGGGCATCCTTCTGTTCAGATACTTATAATTCAGATGACAATAAGTCAATGTCTTTGTCAGACTGCCGAAGAGTTAATGCCTTTGTCAGACAGCAATAAATTCACCAAACTCCACTTAAGTTTTCTGATCCCTTTTTGTTGTTGCAGACACTTCAGGTCACATATGCATATGGGTTAATAGTATACATCTTAAAGCCCCTCTGTACTAGTTTGGCCAGGAGGGGATTAGACTACCCAGCGTGATCACTGAAAGGTGGTTATCTCATCAATTCAGGTCTCAATTAACATAAGAAAAAGGGGACCATGGGGGACCAACGGGCACTGTTTAGGCATTGTTTTCTATATAGAGGGAGCAAGTAGCTACAAGTAGTACAGTGGGGCTTTTAAGTGTACCGATCACATGAAAAGCCTGCCTTGGGTTCCTGTGTGAGCCCTATACAATTCTTTATTTATTTATTTTTATTTTTTAACCTACTGTATAGAATGCCAGGTATAGTTTCTAGTTTTTAAGGTTGATTTGATACATTCAAGCGGTACACAAATTATAAATTTTATACATATATATATTCATAGTGTCCTCACATAATATTTTCCCACTGATATCAGGGGGGGGGGGGCGTTTCACAAAGATCCTAAGTTTAACTTATCTCTAAGTTGGACTTAACAATTATGGAAAGCCGTTAGCATCATTGAAAATATTTTGTAAAAGTTATTTAAAAAGGCATAAAATGTTGATTCAAATCATTCATATTTCTATTATCAAGGAGATTTCATGTTCTTGATGTGGAATGTACTAAAAGTCTAAAATTTTGCTTTTGGAAATATTTAATTTTAAGGCTACAAATGGCTCTCCATAACTTTTAAGTCCAACTTAGAGTTAAGCTTGACTTGGGATCTTTGTGAACACCCCCTGATCTACTTGTCAAAGTATTTAGGTTATGAACTGAGTTTTTAGGAGATGGTTGGAAGTCCATTCCTCACTATCTACAGCAGATATGAACCTACTTAAGATTGGCCAGCAAGAATTCAAATGTGCTGAACGGTACAAAGCTTACAAATAGCTTTGGGGTAAATCCAAAGTCCTTTTCCAATACATTAACCTAATGGCCTCTGACATTATAGTCTGCTTGAAGTCACAGAGGCATTAAGTCAATACTTTCACACAGAGTTAAAGCAATTTTCTGAGTAACTTTTTGGTCCTTAAAGGGGAAATTAACCCTCCTATTGAGTTGGTTTTAATAAAAGCAGAAAAATGAAAGAAATTGGACTGTGAAATTTTGAGTAAAAACTGATAAAAAATAAGAAAAGTTAAGAATTTTGATCAATCATCAAAACACAATCAAAAATAAATTGGCAGCTCTGTGACTTATCTGGCGAGGTTCCTTTCTATTTGCCCTGTACTAAATATCTTTAAAAATGTATATTTTCTCTCAATCATACATCCACCCTAAGTACAATTTTTGCAAATACATGTATGTTTTAATTCAGTCCCTGTATGAAACAAATCAATTCCGTCATCAGCAACCAAGAAAATGAGAGCAAATTGGAGAGAAGTTGTATCATGGCCCTGAGTCAGGCCACAAGAAACACATGTAGTCGCATCATGCTACACCCCCTTTAACATCAGGGTGCACTTCCCCTTTAAGAGACAAGTTACAATTAATGATCAGTTGTATAGATTATAAACTGAACCATGTCAAGTGCTTCAGGGTACAAGTCAGGCATGTAGCTGTCTTCCGAAAATAACTAAAACACCGAACATGCAATGTGCTTCAAACTGTACATAAATTTCCTGTTCGGTTGAAATTACACTTTATTCAATTACTCCGTGCATGGAATACATATCCCAGTTGTTTATAGGCATTTTCATCGCAGACTGTTTCCATTTCAATTCTCTAAAAGGTCATGGAGACAATAACAATAACGTAAAGAAAAAACTGGAGATAAAAAGAGTTGAGAAATGATTTTATTCTCTCCAGATGCACGATTCCCATCAAATTCAGTCGCCAGGTAATCAATACCAGCCGCCATTGCCACTTGTGGCAATTTAGAAATTTGTCATATTGTCTGAGGAGGTAGTCATTCGTATGAAATATCAATAAACTTGTTCCAAGTGCATGAGAGCGGTATATTGTCTAGAAAGCAACTGAAATAGAATCATTTGTGAATCAGCATTGGAAAAGCACAATACCTTGAACTTAAATAGAAGATGCCTTGCAAAATTACCTGATATTCCTTCATTTTTTAATCCTGATTATTTCATGGAATTCCCTCCCAGCTTATATCTATCCCCTTGCAACCAACACGGACAGATTCAAGAAATATGACAATAAGTATTTAATTTCTAAATTGTTATTCTTCAATTCTGTAAATTTCATTTACTCTACTCTATTCCATCACAATGATATGAAATGTAAGTTTGGTATTGTTAACAGGCCGCTTTTCATTAGCTTTGCTGGCAACATCAGGTCCTGTAATGTACGGTTTAAAAAAAATATATACCAGTAGTTTTGAACTGTCTATTTGGAGCTATATGGATGTTATATCATATACTTTGACACAGAGTTATCACCCTGCTGGCTCTAAACACTTTAGTGACATTGTTCAGAGGTGTGAGCAATGGTTAAATTTAGATACAAATCTTTGCAAAAACTGAAATTAAAGGTAAAGACCAGTTCTGGTCATGCTATTGCATTGTGAAAGCAACTTTGTGGAAATGATCAGATAAGGTTGATTATCTACTGCAAGGTTCTGGAATCATCAATATGATAAGAAATTTGGCCCAGTCTTGGTAAAGTTACAAGCACTGTACACAGAAAGATGTATATGGGACTACGTGACACGTGCGCGATATCTATCCGGTCTGGATAGATATAATGATTTACCAAATACACACTGTATATCAACTAGAAGGCGGTTTCCTGGCAAACTTTGTATCATCACGTATTAGTCAAAACATATTCTTTCACATGATTGGTAATAAGAGCTTCCAATTCATTTTTTTTGAGAGGGGGCGTTTACAAACCTGGTCTATACCTTTAAGGCAATCAACCCTATATTTGAACATGCTTGATCAACTATTCTGAGGGTTGCAGTTTTGATGTGCAAGATCAAAGCTCGGCTGCCCATATCCAATTATTCACAAATCACCAGTGCCTTTGATTTTGTGGTTGCTTTAATTTGGTGGTGATCAAACATTTTTCTGGTGGAAATTTATCCAAGGGTATCATATTTCTAGCAATAAGCCTTCGATGTCCATACTGTTTCATGTGTAAAGCATTAGAGTTCAGATTCCTGGTAGGAATTTATTCCTTGAAACGCAGCGCGCGTAACAGCTGCACTGCTAAAGCCAGGGTAATTATGCTGCATTATTGTAGAGCGCTTAGAGACTTCTGACAAAGTAAGTGTTAGGCGCTATATAAGCACTGTAATTATTATTATTACGTGTAGTAATGGGTTCAGGTTTGAAATTAAACTGGCATTAGAAAATGACCACAAAACACCAAATTACTGGAGCAATTATTGTCATAAAGTTGCTGTCGTTGCATCCTTCGAACTTGCGGCTTCAGCAGTTTTGAATATTCAATTTTCAAATAAGCATTAAAAACTGGGCATTTAATGTGATGAATATCACATTAAATCAAATTTACATGTGCACAGGAGAGCTAATTATTCTCAGACCATCAAATTCAATTGAAAAATTATTACAGTAAGTCAAAATACCACCTGCACATTAAAGGGGCACATCAACAATTTTTCATATAAAACTTACATGTAGTACTTATCACATAGCAAAATCAAAAAAAGTATTTATCTGTACCTATATTAATTACTTTTAAATGGAAACAAAATGATATATCATTGTTGTTGATTATATTTGTCATGAAATTGTTAATTTTATGAGGGGAAAGTATCCCCCATCCCTATCCTCCTGGTCGCACTCTTTATGTCCTTCTCTCTTTCCCCTTTATAACTGAAATTAACAATTTTCCGAGGTGAAATAACATCTCTCTCTCTACACCCTCCTATCATAAATTGACCGGGTAAGTAATTACCTTAAAACTGAATTTAGAATAGCAATGGTTTTATCAATGAATATTATTTCCATTCTATTCTGATCTATTCTATTCTACTCCATTCCATTCCATCCCGCATTCCATTCATTTCAATCAAAATTTGGTGCAATTCCACTAAGTACAACACAATCTAATTCTATTCAATTCACTTTAATTCACTTCATAGCACTCCAATTTGATCAAATTCAACTCAATTTAATTCAATTCAGGTCAATTGTCCTCTACACTGCGGGCCTAAATGAAATTTCCCCCAAAAGAAAAAAAACGTATATTTGTAGCACCCTAGAATATAGATGTTCAAACTTAACAGCAAACTACTTCAAATCATCAATAAAGACTACCGAAAATCAATCTAATACAAATTTCACACTCACCATCTCTGAAAATAAAACTGGAAAATGACCAATATCCTTTAAAAATGCAAAGAATTTGACGAATGTAATTTAAAATTTCCCACAGCGAAGCAAGAAGGAAGCAAAATTGGAAGCAGGACAGCGCAGAAAGAGAGAGTTTGTCGGCGCAGCACGATACTACCAGTACGACGATAGATAATGAAATGAATAGAGCCGGCAGTGTCCCCTAAAACTTCATTAAGCCTGTGTGCGCATTTTGGAGCCCAGTTTTGGGTAGAGGTTAGTCTTGATTTGCAGACCATGTTTCTGTTGTGTAGCACTGAACATGCAGCAGAGTATTTGTAATTGTACTTATGTGCATGGAGGACTGAAACCCATTAAGGATCACTGTGTCAATAAAAACTGTACATTATGATGAATTTTCCATTGAGATAATAGGGAAACAATATTTGTTGCATTTTTCAACTGACACAGAGTCAGCACTCAAATACTGGTAAACATAAAACCCTTTCAGGACAGAATTTATCTGCAGAGCTAAATAGATCACATAATTATTGTTCCTCAAATTGGCAAAAATATTTTTTTGTTGATGTTGTTGCGACATTGTTGTTGTCAAAAAATTGAGGGGGAAAAAGAGTAAGACAAATTTCTTTTAAAAACATTGAATTTGAATCCCTCCACATGGTGCCAATTAAAGGATTTTAAAGCTAATTTTCCTTTGTAAAATCCTGGCATCAAACGCTATTTAATGATGAAACAAAAATGAATGAAGTATGTGCAGAAATGTGTGCGCTTTCTCCTCATGCATAGGGCATATTTTTTAGGGCTCTTAATCATAAGTTGTAAAGCCAAACCACAAAATGTGGAATGATTGTCGCAAAAGGGTTTAAAAAAACTGGTATTCCTCTCTCTTCACATGTCTCTGGCTCTAAATCTGTGTATTAAAGCATGTGAGGGAGGATTCTTAACTGATCCCCAAGAAATAAATAGATTTCATGACAAACTACTTAAAATCTAAGATCTAAGAGCACTATCTACTCCAATACTATTACAGACATACCAGTCTATAGCGACCGCCCAAGGGAAACACAAAAAGTAGTCGTTGTAGACAGGTTCTTTCAGTACAGGTGTCAATGAGAGACCATTTTCAAGGGAAACAAAAAATGTGGTGTTTGTAGACAGGTGGTCTTTATATACAGGTGGTCACTAAAGCAGGTTTGACTGTAGGATAAGTTGTCCATTGTCCCTCCTCACACTGTATTGTGGTAAAATTCAAAATACAGCGGAAACTTTCAGGCTTTTAATACGATGTTGAATTAGCCATGTCTGTTTTTCTATACAGTGTAAATAAAGAAATGTTTTACAATTAAAATATCCATTAGCAGATCATATATCATGAAATAAATCATCAAATATTGCAAACAATAGTCAGAAAATGGCTGGGTATTTCAAGCAAGATTTAGATCCTCACAGTAATTAGGCAAGAACAATTACAATAAGCATTGCTCAGCTTTTAGATCTACAGCAAACAAGAGAGCATTAGAAATCTTTATTTACACAAACAGGATTACGGGAGCTGAATAGTCATGCAAACAATACTAATGGATTTACGAATGACTGATATGTGACCGTTGTGTTGGTTTCAAGTCAAATAGGAATATTGTTATGCACTTGTACTAACTTTTAGTCTCCCATATATTAACTAGAGACTGTAAAATTGCTGCAGATTACAGGGATCCGGTAACTTTGTCTCAGATTCTGAAACAAAATTCTGGATTTAGCTCATGCTGCAATGATAATTATAAACCTTTAGGTCAGTCAGGAACCCCATGAATTTCACAAGCCGATCGCCTGTCTGATTATCAAGATATTTATGATTGGAATTACACATTTTAAAAACCATTTGCCAAACAGTTTTCATTACACTACAGTCTATTGGGGAAAACGAGTATGGTAAAACCGGTCACTCAAAGATTTTTACTTTTTTTGAGGCACTTCTTGATCATATTGAAGCATTAGGGCTGCAATATTACACCATATCACAGACACCGATAACACATAGGGCCGTGCATCTCAGATTTAACATTGTTAAACGATCCCTTTAAACACTAATCCATTCTTCAGCTTTTCTTCCTTCAAATGGCAACACTTGCATCATTCTTTTACTTCTACACAAATCTTTCACAAAGTCATGCACCTCAAATCAAACCACTTCAAAGGAACTCCTATTGCAAATACAAAGAATTCCATAGAAAAACAATGGTCTTCCATAATAATAATAATACATTACATTTATAATGCGCTTTATACAATGTTTCCAAGCGCAAGAGAAAGAAAAAAGGATAAGGAAGGAAAAGTGAGAAATACTAAAGAAACATGTTAAAAACATTGAATTACAAGTAAACGGCAAAGAAGAATGTGATGCCAATTTGATGATTTCAATTCTTTTCTATACTGAAATTCCTAATGCCAAAACATGTGGTATTGCAATTTAAATGGCCGGAAGCTGTATAGCAACATTATATCTACTTCACATGCAATTTTAGAATATTTATTTAGAATATTTAGGACTATTGTGTCCATCCAAAAATGAGGAATTTTTGTTGTTAATTAGTTAAAGTTTTCTTGGATGGAAGTCTGTAGAATCAGACTATAGTTTTCTAGCCTGGTAGGCTACTGTACTGAATCAGGTAATTGCATAAATTAGCAGTGAGTGAGTGATGGGGTTAGAGATACGGGATGATTGGAGGGTATAAGGTCGAAGATGGATGGGAGATAGAGAGAAGAGAAGAGAAGAGAAGAGAAGAGAAGAGAAGGATGGAGTGAAGGATGGAAGAGTGGAAGGATAGAGGGAAGGAGAGAGTAGACAGGTGCAGTATGACTTGTGAATAGAAAAGGTGGGTGGGTTACATGCACTTACACAGTAATGGGAAGAAAGGGGGAAAGTTTAAAAAAGGAGAAGAGCGAAAGAAAGTAGTACAAGGAGAAGAATGGAAAAGAAAGTAGAAAAATGAAAGAAGGAAAGTAGGAGAAGAGAAGAGAGTAGGAGAAGGGAAGAGAATAGAAGACGGGAAAGAGAGAGTATGTAGAAAGTAAAAAAGTAGAAGTAAAGAAGTTGAAGGAAAAAGAATGGAAGACAGGAAAGTAGAAGGGAGAAGAATGGAAGAAAGGGAAAAGGATAAAAGGAAGGAGAAATTGGCAATGAGAAAGATAAAGGATGAAAGAATATCAAATTTCAAGGGTATGAAAGAGAAAACAAGTAAAAGGGAACAAAGAGAGAAAAAGGACATTAAAAGAGGAATGTGTGCATACTTTTTACTTTGAAAACACTTATTCCTGATAATTGAGGTCATACTAAATATCAGAAAGTAATAACATGTATGCTCTAGATAATAAACTATGTTAAAAATTCACTCTGACAATTACATAAACCAACAGAAATTAACAAATATTGATGGATGTAAAAAAAAACATATACCCCCCAAGAGGTAAAGGAAATAAACAAAAAGGACATCAAAGACTGAAAAGGAAAGAGATTAGGAGACTGAAGGGTAGATCAATTTTGAGATGAAAATAGAGTCTACCTGTTAGGTACCGAGAGAAATACATCACAGAGGAGTGCACATTGTAATGAACGTTAATCACTTTAATGCATCATGCACATAGATCATTCTCCCGACTCGACATTACGACAGCGGGCTATTATCCTGCAAAATATACTAGCGCTGCTTAAAGGCATCGTTTAACAATGTTAAATCTGAGATGCACGGCCCTACGTGTGATCAGTGTCTGTGATATGGTGTACTATAGAAGCCCTAAAAAAAATTGTGCTTCAAAATGATCAAGTGCCTATAAAAAGTAAAAACCTGAGTGACTGGTATTACCATACTCGTTTTCCCCGATAGACTGTAGTGTTATGAAAACCGTTAGGTACACGCAAAATTTGATTTCGATTTTCAATCATAAATATCTTGATAATCAGACAGGCGATCGGCTTGTAAAAGTCATTGGGTTCCTGACTGACCTAAAGGTTAATAATGATCATTGCAGCACAAGTTAAATCCAGGATTTTGTTTCAGAATCGGAGACAAATTTACCCAATCCCTTTAAACCTGTGAGGTAGACGAGAGGAAAAAAGAGTAAAAAATTAGCTGCTACGTCAAAGATTGCTAGTTCAAGCATAGTGCACTGCCCTAAATTATTCCAGAGCACCCTATTTCTCATTTGGAGGTAGCTGCCTTCAAGCGTTCAGTCCCTTGCTTGGAATGATGGATGGATGGATGAATGACTAGATAAGAAAAAAAAGGCCAACTATTAAGTTGGCCACTTATAGGTGTTGTTATCACATTACGAGGTGGCAAGGGTGGGGAGGGGGAAGGTTCACTTGCATACCAACCCCAGTATTCAGATTCAAGTTCAAATTTTATTGTCTACGTTAAAAAACACAGAAATTTTGCCTCCACTGGCAAGAGGTAACAATAAATAACATAAGAAAACATAAATGTGCACAAAACAAAAACATCAATTAGATTACTAGGTAACAAACAGTTGAATACATTCTGACAAAAGTATAGACCTACGCTATGGAAGAGGAGATAGCAGAGTTAGATGAGAAAAGGGCTGAAGGACTGACTCTGAGCAAGAAAGAACAAGAATGTAGGCTAAATTAAGGAATCATTACCTCAATGTTGTTTATTGTGTAAAATTGGGGCCTCATAGAATAGATATCTTCAAAATATTTTCAAAGATAATATAAAGAATCAGCAATGCAAGTAAAGGGCAATCCATAAATGTGGAGGAATCGTGGTCTAGGGGATATGTCACCGGACCATTTTCCTCAGGGCGCGGAGCATGTGCACGTTCATGTGCGGATAAGCAATTGAATCCAATGACTGGGGTAATAATTACAATGTAAAGCACTTACAAATGTGCCGTGGTCGAGTGGAAATGTCATCGGACTGTGGATCACATATAGTCATGGTCCAAGAGTCCAACGGCGGCACTGATGTCCCCATAGCAAGACATTGATCTACATTTGCCACTCTCCATCCAGGTGTTAAATGGGTACCCGGTAGGATGGGAATATTAATGTGGTTAAATTGGCATGTGCGCTTGAAATATGACGCGTGGCCAGAATATTAAGGCAATAATGAAGATCAAAATAATTACACATATCACAACAGTTTTATTTTTTATAAGAATCAACGAATATTAACGCAAATAATACCACAATAATCAAAAATATCACAAAAGTTCTATTTTTTATAAAAAATTGATGGATATCAGGGAAAAGAAGATCAAAATAATGAAACTTCAGAATCAACATAAAAATTAAAGATATAGGGCCTCTTTTGCTGATCATCCCCTTTAAGCTTCTGTTCACGTTAGGAAGTAAGCTCTAACACGTCTTGACGTTTCACCCTTCATCAACCAAGAAAGAGCGGGACTTGTTTGCGATGGCATTACACTCCAACGAGATCGAGTCTCTTTGAATTTGACAAATACAAATTACATCAGTCTGACAGCACTGGCTTGACTTATAAATACCTTAGGTTTGAGTGCCTTCTCTTGAATGGGATCAAGCACACACCAATAAGTGTGGTATCACTCACGTCATATCTCAAATTGGCAACTCTATTATTGTAATTTGGATGCAAATTGCATTATGTTTCAAAACGAACAGAATCTGATTTTCATAAATACGTGCACATTAGTGCTATTGTGCACTGGGACATAATTTTGTGCAAGGACATGGATAATTGTAAAACCTACATACATATACATGTATATAAATATTAGGGCCAGAATTCACAAATGTTTTCTTAAATCATGGTTTATAGCTCCATAAGCACACCATTATGGCCTCTTACCTGTACATGTACTGTATGTACAGAAGAGCTAGCAGTGTCAAAACACAGAATGCTAGAAATTAACTACATTTACCCCTTTTTGTAATTTTACATTGCGACTATTATTATAGCCCTATACTTCTCATACATGGACATATGATGCCAATAAAAGAAGTGCAAATCAATATCTTTGAATTCCTTCTACAGACTTTAGACAAGTGATGCTAGTTTAAGGAGTACAAGTGAATATTACTTAATCTTGCATAGAGACTTTAGACAAAATCCTTCTGCTTTGATCCTTTTTAATATCAACAAGAAGAAAAAAAATGGTTCCATGATACTACAACCAAATGTATAACTTTATATATTTATCAAATTTATAATTTAAAAAGATCCTGTACAGACATATAAATTATAATCAAACTGTCAATACTTGGTGTCTTAGCCAATAACAGCCTAAGGAAAATGGATGAGATTGATGCACGCAGGTAGGGCAGAGAGTACCTGATACATAAATTGACTTTTGCCATAATTAGATTTCATTGACGAACTGCTTATATTTATTATTCTCCCTGAGCCATGTCTGTCTGTCATCCCCTTCCTTGCTCTATATCTCCCCATATCTCTCTTCAAGTGTAATTCCTGCTTTTTCTTTTACATACATGTATGCTCCCTTCCTCCTTCTCTCTCTCTCTCTCTCTACTACAAGTTTGACCCCCTGTCCACACACAACATTTTCCGTGATTAGGCGTGATTAGTTAAACCGTTTCGCGATAGTGATACCGTTTCGCGATAGTTTTACAATGAAATTGTGTGTGTGGACGCTCACTAACCTTACGTCGTATAACGAAACGTAGTCTAAAGAAACGCAGGTTTGGGCATCGTTTCGAACTAGAACTCAATAAAGAATCACGCCTAATCACGGAAGGTGTTGTGTGTGGACGTAACCAGTGTAACTAGTGTAACTAACTGGGCGGGGCTTAACGTGACCTCGTGCAAAAGGAGACCTGACCTCTCATTTCCGTTTCCATTTCATGACCACAGTAGCAAACTGCGCACCTATACGACATTTCGCTGTAGAGTTTCAGGATTACTTTCTTCTGTGTGTGGACATCCTGGAATTTATACGATTATTATTTATATGACGTTTCTTGTAAGTGGACACTTTGAAATTTATACGATGATTCTTTATACGACCTTTCATCATAGAGTTTCGGGATAAATTGTTTTGTGTGTGGACACGCTGTAAGTCTTTCAACTATTTTATCACTGAAAATCTCTAGCTTTCATCTGTTCTTGCTTTCTGTCTCTCCTCTCTCTTTCTGTCTTTCTCTTCATCTCTCTGTCTCTCTGCTACAAGTTTGAATATTTCCCACCTTTCCAATCTCTCTTGCACTCTGTGCCTCTAACTCCTATTTCTTGTCTCTCTCTCTCTCTCTCTCTCTGCTAGAAGCTATAAGTTGATGTGATATCAATGTCAATATGTCATCTGAGTTGTAGATTAATTATTCTCCCTCAGCCATGTCTTGCTCTCTCTTCTCTCCCTTGATCTCTATTTTATTTCATATTTCTCGGTAACGAGAATACATGAGAGCCCGCCCGCAACGCTACAATCAATACGTTCGTCGCGCTTACATCGTATGATATACGAAATCTTCGAGCTGCAAAAATCTGTTTATATTTTTGCAATCCTTCGTTTCCGGCAGAGTTTTTTGCCGAAATCCACTCGTAGAAAAGTTTCTGACACTTTTGAAACGGGTTTTGTTCTAAAATGGACAAATCTTGGGACTCTAAAAACAATTTTGAAATCCCATCTTCTGCTCGGTGCCTGCCGGGCACGAGCAAGTCACCATCGGAACCTGCAATCACGGGGACGGGTACTAACCCGCAGGCAGCCGGGACTATAATGCCTACCTTACCCGGTGCTTCTCCCCCGACGAGTAAGGCAAAGCCGAGCTCGGGCATCGCTGTGGGTACTCCCAAATGCAAAATTAGTAGCAAGGCAAAGCCGAGCGAGCAAGAAAATACTAAATCGTCTAAGACGAAAGTCAAATCCTCTGACAATAAATATGTTGGTAAGGCTAAGCCGAACCGCGAGGTTGACAACACGAGCAAGGCTAAGCCGCGCTCGGACTCAAAATCGAAGTCTGTGGATTCACGCATTGATAAGCTGGAAGACATGCTTTCTGTGTTAATGGAGAGAATCCCTGCCCCGGCACAGCCGGCTCTGGCCCCACAGACATTCTCCTCTCCGGTTGATAAAAACACGGAGCCCCTCTCGGTAGGAAGATTGACCTCGGGGGAAGGCCTTTTGGCCGATGATTTTTATGATGGAAGTGAATCGCCAGGTAGCGAACTTCTTTATGATACCGACGATGTCGGAAGCATGGGCAGAGCTGTTGGTAGTGTGCCTACTACTGCCGGCAAGGGACAAGATTCAATCCCCATGATCGCCGCAAAATTTGCCATGCCCTCGGGGATTGGTGCCCCCTTACATGACGACATAGCTCAATCTATGACTTATTTGATGAGCAACAAACTGGAAGAAAAATCTCTGGATGAGGCGGCTGAGAAATATCTTTCCCCCGAAAACTGTGAATTGCTTGACACTCCAAGAGTGAACACAATTATTTGGGAAAACTTGCGTTCAGCAACTAGAAATAAAGATCTGAAAATTCAGTACATCCAGAAGTCATTAACCAAAGGCTTGTGTGCTTTCGCACGATCTCTGAACCCGGCTACGATGACCGAGGAGCAGCATGATGCATTGGCGCTGCTATGTAATGCCAATTACGGCCTAAATTCCATGAGGAAGAATTTGATCAAACCGGATCTCAACCCTCTTTTTCATCATCTGTGCTGGCCAACTTACCCAGTTACCAAACACTTGTTTGGCGAGGATCTGGGGCGCCAGGTTAAAGAACTGCAAGAACAGCAAAAAGCCACGGCAGGTGTTATGAACACGAGAAACCAGCCTCAAGACAGGCATCAACGCTCATATCATCCTTATCGCAAGGTTACAGACTATGCCAAGCACACCATGAAACGAGCTGGCTGGTTCCCCAATCGAGATCAAGGCAATTCGTCATCCCGTATGTATGGGAACTCAGAGCGCCCTTTTTTAGGGCAGCGCCAGAATTCCAACTTCAAGAAAGGGAATTCAAAACAACAGGCATCACACACCTACACCCCAACAGCAGCCAACAGGGGCAAACAATCGTACCATCGCAAGAAGTAGTCGAGGGAAATTCCCCTTCAGGCTCAAGCACTCAAGAGGTTAGTGTTTGTAATGAAGCCGTGTCTGATATGGTCGGAGGTCGACTGAAGCCATTTTATGAAAATTGGTGCAAAATTACTTCAGATCCATTCTTACTTCAAGCTATTCAAGGCTACAAACTGGAATTTGATCCAGACAAATTCCCCCCCATACAAGACAAGCCCCTCCACACTTACAAGCGAAATGCTATGGAGATGGCTAAGATCCATGAGGAGTTGAATACTCTAGAAAATAAAAACGTCATTGAGCGTTGCTCACACGTCAATGGTGAATTCATTTCACACATTTTCACAAGACCAAAAAAGAATGGAGGAGTTAGACTAATTCTGGATTTGTCCAAACTTAATAAATACATTACTTATTACCATTTCAAAATGGACAACATTTTCACTGCTGTCTCCCTCTTGTCTGAGGGAGACTTCATGGCTTCAGTCGACCTTCGCGATGCATACTACACGGTACCCATTCATACAGAATCTAGAAAGTACCTTCGCTTTGTGTGGCAGGGACAATTATGGCAATTTAAAACCCTGCCAAATGGGCTTAGCTCTGCCCCCAGGCTATTTACTAAGCTTCTCAAACCTGTGTTTGCCTGTCTTAGACAATCCAAACACAAAGTTGTTGGATATTTGGATGACACTATAATTATTGGTAAAACCAAGTCTAGAACACTAGAATCCGTGACAGCTACTACAATGTTACTGAGTAGACTGGGATTCATAATTCATCCAATAAAGTCGGTGCTTGAACCGACTCAAGAAATTGAATTTCTTGGATTCAGACTTAATACAATTAGAATGGAAATTACACTGCCTGTTAACAAAGGCGAAGACGTAAGAGAGGCATGCATTGGGTTGCTAGAGAAGAAAGCCCCCTCCATAAGGGAAGTTGCGAA